TTCATTAATAATGAATGATCTCACCATTTCACAATCATTAAGGCCATAATTAGCTCAGGCAGAGATCATCTGTGGATGCCAAAACCACTGGGTGGGTGAAAGGTTTTTGAGGAGTAGAATACTCACAGTGCACTGAAGTATCACCTCATAGATTATTTTTAAATTTAAAGATGATCCAGCTATGCTTACAATGGTGAAATCTGGTAGACACTAGGTTAATCGAGTCATCAAACTTGGCATCACCCAAATATGGGCCAAACTGACAGCACGAGCTTCCTGATGGGAGGCAGCAGGAAAGATGTGGCCTCATGCAGGTGATATTCCCTCCAAACTTGTTTAATCTGAACCAAATCATCAAGAAAAATCAGATTGGTGGACATTTTATAAGACACTTGGCCAGAATTATTTTAAAAATTAGCTTTATAAAAATCAACAATTAACTGGGAGCGTGTTCTAAATTAAAAGAGAATAAAAAGACATATTAGTTTATTATGTGATCTTTGGATTTGGGATGGAAATTTACAGTAGATAAAAGGACGCTACTGGAACCACTGGTGAAATGTGAGCATGGGTGATATTAGATAATACTGTTTCTATGTTAAAGTTCTCCAGTGTGATAGTGGCTTTGAAAAAATTAGAAATCCTTAGGAATTTCTTAAGAAATTTCTTAGGAATTCTTAGGAATTCCTAGGAATCACTTCTCTGTGAGTTTAAATTTCTTTGGATGTAAAGAATGAAAAAGTAAATACATACAAATCAATGCTTTTTCGTAACTGTTTGCTAGTACTCCTTGTCTGTCATCTGTGGTTAGTGGTTTAGTGATAGTTGGAATGAAATATGACCCATTTAAAGTCAGACTCTTGATAATGGCCTAAGTTTATTTCATTCACACACTATATGTTTTGGTTCTGGCTCTTGTTTTTTGGACTGTCTTTATGTACTTACAGTGAGGGTGTCATTGTCCTGTAATTCTGCTGTTGGGACTTACGATGATTTTTCAAGTCATAATAAGTCCCAACTGTGGTTTGGTGAGCTTTTACCACATATGTATTTAGAGAATGGATAAAAATAAATATAATATGTTCAAATGATTTATTCATGGCAGTTTTGTCAACCTTGGTAAAGGGACGCTGTCACTAGACACCCGTGGTTCCCAACCTCGATTCTTTCCCTCCTAGTACCTGTACCAGCTGCTGCTACAGCGATCAGCTCTGCACAGGTGTGACCTGGCAGTCCTTGGCCTCAACTGCATCACCTTTCACTCAGTTTCTGTGCTGGGCCTTCTCTGAGTCCATTTAACTTCTTGGGACAAATATGAGGGAGTTTAACATCTAGTAGGCAATCCTAAACCAATGGAGAAATGGAGGTTGAGGATACATGTCCACTCTCCAACCTCTCAGATGGAACAACTTGAGGCACATTTTACAGGACTCCTCAGCATGCTCCAGGAGGATGGAGCCCTAATTGCCCATGTTGCTGGCCAGCTCGATATAGCATATTTGAATTGGCTTTCCTTCAGCATTAGTCTATTCTCATTGGGCTCATAAAGACATACCTGAGACTGGGTAATTTATAAAGAAAAAAGATTTAATGGAGTCACATTTCCATGTGGCTGGGGAGGCCTCACAGTCATGGCAGAAGGCAAAAGGCACATCTTACCTGACGGCAGGCAAGAGAGAGTGAGAATCAAGCAAAAGGGATTTCCCTTTATAAAACCATCTGATCTCATGAGGCTCATTCAATACCATGAGAACGGTATGGGGGAAACTGCCCCATGATTCAATTATCTCCCACATGCTCCCGCCCACAGCACGAGGGGATTATGGGAGCTACAATTCAAGATGAAATTTGGGTGGAGACACAGCCAAACCATATTTCCTTTCTTCTCTGCTTAACTCTTTCTAATCCCTCAGTACTGTTTCTCAGAATTGATTCCCAAAATAAATGGCCTACATACAAGCTTTTGTCACAGGCATTGTTTTTCTTGGCAGAATACAAACTAAGACGATGTAATCTTTGAAATCTCTCTAGTTATGGTTGAAGAGTGTGGGGATTGTTATAATTACAGTAACTACTTATAAAAGTTTGTGGTGGTAACTCGAAAAAGCATTCATCAGGAGAATCTTCCTTGTTGCTGGCACTGGGAAGGTCATTTATTAAACAGGTAACTAGCACAGCTACTGGGATAGGGAATTAATTAGGAAGAAGACATGTTGGTAAGTCTACAGGATTCTGTTGCTTTGTTATAGGACTTTGGGTCTCGGTATCTCGTATAAGCGTTTGGGAGTAGCAAGAGCCCCTAAATCTAAAGATAAATGAGATTCATGGCAGGACTTGGGCAGGACATCAGTTATTTGACATGGGATATAAAATCGAGACTCGAGAGTCTCTATTCTGATTCATAATGGGATTGAAATGTAGGAGTAAAGCTACTATAATATTTGCACAGTCTCCCCCTGCCATGCTGCCCTGTTATCCAGTTTTCATGCAAAATCACACAGTATTAGGCTGGAAATTGTAATAAATTACATCAACCTAATATGAGAAACTGAAAATAGGGAGCAGTCTGAACTTAGAGGGTAAGGAAAATAAGGATCCTGGAAACTAACTGATATCTTACAAGCACTGACTGGTTGCATGTCATAAATACTTGTTTCATGGTATAGTTCAGGGTAATTCTGTGACTTGTTGAGTCTCAGTGGTTAGATATTACAGTGACTTCGGGCATAGGCGTTTGATGTACTTTCTGATTCAGTAAAGCACAGATGTTGAAGACCTGATTAAATCCTGTCTCTGCTAATACCCCGAGGGAACACTTAATGAATGATGCTTCCCTCAAGAAGAAGAATAATTAACAATAGCTATATTATTCATATTAACTTATAGTTACTGGTTGCTATAATTAATGCTATTTAGGAAAATCATCATAATTATAGCACTTTACAACTTACAGAGTATTTTCTCATCCGTTTTCTTATCTGAATCTTGTAACATCACCCTGGCTTAGGTAGAACATGTGATATTCTCTTCATGTTATAGATGAGAAAATTATGGCCCAGGGAAAGAATTAAGCAGACACCAATCTATCACCTTTCCAATATATTGGACTATCTATGAGTATGTGGAAATACTCTTAACAAATTAATGTCTACCATCATATTTTATGTCTGCACACAAGAGAAGCAACTTTACTCGGCTTTTAGTTGCCTTCCATAGCAACAATGCCCTGCCTTTCCTTATACCAGGAACCATTACCCGGAATGTTCACATGAAGTTTAAATGTTAAGTGGAGTTTTTCTTAATTTTACCAAAATGTTTCATAGTCATTACTGCCCTTTGAGATACACATGAGATCTCATCTGATACAGGGATTAGCACCTTGAAAACATCTGTTTCCAGTATACAGACCTGCTGGCATTTAAGAGTTTAATCACACTGGAAATTCAAAATCAGAAAAGTCTGAATTTCAACCAACCAGTCATGTCACTCTTTTTCTATTTTTGGTTGTGACAAGAGAGTGGAAGAAAATCTCTCAATTTCACAAGGCCAGCCTTCAAATCTGGGCCATCCAGCTTGATGATATACGCGTACTTACCAGTGTGAGCATGTGTACACCCAGGCGTGTGTGCACACACAGATGCACACTGAACCTCTCTGGTTCTCTTTTTATATCAAATCCTAGAGTATCCAGTGCCTACTGTTGTACCTCTAACTGTGTTTATCCAAGATACATTGATATGAGGAAGGTCACTGGCTGAACCTGTGGCACAGTCTGTTATTCTTCATTGATTTATTTATTCAAAAATACTTACTGAACACCTGCATGGACTAGGCCTTGAACGAGATTCTGAGGAAGCAGGAACAAAACAGACAAACCTTCTCACAAAGCTTTTATGGTCTATGGGAGAGACTGAAAATAAACAGAAAAATACACATGGTGGTAGATATTATAAAAAATAGATTTAAAAGGGTAAGGGGATAAGATGACGTGATGTAGAGGGGTCATAATAATACATTTAAAAGGAAAAAATTGTAAGGTGGCTGCTTTAGACAATGTGATAATATGAAATATATATATATTGTTTTATTATTATTATTATTTGTCTGTCGTGTGGGCTGGAGTGCTTGATGAAGTTTTAAGAGCTTATTCCATACACACACGTGATCATTATTAAATTGTCACTTTAGAAGATTATTTTTTTACTTCACCCTGCCTCCAAATACTAGAGTCATCTTACTTTATACGTCCTTGCTTTTAACTCTAGACAGATGCTTTGCTTGTTTTTCCCAAACCTGGTCATAATTCCTGAAAACACCCTGTGGCGATGTCATTGTCCTTTACTCTCCTCTTGTTGATTCTGACTGCAGGTAATATGGGGCTCTAACATATGAAATCCAGAGATCCTGACTTCATCGTCTGTGCTCACTGCCACGTGCTTCCTCTGCCCCTCAGTAGAACCCTAAGAGGTCTCTTTCCAGCTCACGTTTTACATGTATTGCTTGGGTCTTGCCATCCTTGCAGACATGTGTACCTAATACCCACTGGACCTCAGACTTCTAAGCATTTCCATGCTCCGATATCTTCAAGTGCTAATTTATCTTTCTGGAATATCAGTCTCCTTTCCCTGCTCCTTGCTGCTCCAATAAATGTTATTATTCTAGGCAGTGGTTTCTAAACAGCAAGAGCTTGTGAACTCTCTTAAGCTGGTTCTGCTCTTTAAGTGCAGAAATGGAGACATTTATTTTCCTTTACTTGTATACTTAAAAAAAATCTTCTAAATATGCAATCTGAGAAATAATCATCTTTTATTTTTCTGTTTCCATATCTGTCATAGTGACAATTCTATCTCAGCCAACCTCACTGAGATTTTATCAAAGCTTAATTTAAAAAAAAGAGGTACAGAAAAACTTGGACAAAGCCGCACTGTAACTTGAGACATTTGAACTTACAATGATATCAATGGAAATTTCATTTATTAACATGTATGTGTTGCGTCCAGCAGGGAAATCCCGGAGGCAAGACACTTGAGGAGAGGCGCTCCAGCCTGGACGCTGAGATTGACTCCTTGACCAGCATCCTCGCTGACCTTGAGTGCAGCTCGCCCTACAAGCCTCGACCTCTGCAGGTTAGTGCTGCCCACATCCGTCTCCACACAGTCAGTCCCAGATATTCTACTCTTATCAGAAAGAATGTGCTGCATCTGAGAGCTCTTTTATTTTTTCTTTTTTTGAAACAGAGTCTTGCTCTGTTGCCCAGTCTGGAGTGCAGTGGTACAATCTCAGCTCACTGCAACCTCCACCTACTGGGTTCAAGAGATTCTCCTGCCTCAGCCTCCTGAGTAGCTGGGACTACAGGCGCACGCCACCACCACCGGATTCTTTTTATCTTTAGTAGAGATGGGGTTTCACCATGTTGGCCAGGCTGGCCTTGAACTCCTGACCTCATGATCTGCCTGCCTGGGCTTCCTAAAGTGCTGGGATTATAGGGGTGAGCCACTGTGCCCAGCCCTTTAATTCTTTGTTGATCTTCTTAGAGTCAATGGCTTAAGTGGTCTTTTTATTTAATATCAATGTGTGTTAGTCAACTGACAGATAGTTCTTAAACTGGCTCTTTGAATATTTTCTTTAAAAATAACACAACATTACACAAAAATATTATATACAAAAGTAAATCTCTTCTTCCACTGCCTTGATCTTTTCACAGCTTTGTCTATATGGGTATTTTGTTATATGTTGTTATAGTTTTCACAAATGTGACTCAGCTTGGCTAGGCAAGGTTAAGGTGAAGGGCTATGTCATTTGAAAAGAAATTACTTTCGTTGAACAGTAAGGTGGTTTTCATTATTTTTGTCATTGTTATAAATAATGTTGCAAGGGACATATTTGTGTATATTGTCTTCGGAGCTATTTCCTGGCCTCACATTTCTAGGAGTGGGATTGCTACACTGATGAGTGTGACCCCTTTATTTACTTTCCTTTCTGAAGGTTGTGAATAGTTCATGCTGGTACCACCAGTCGGTTTGAACATGTCAGTTTCTCCTGAAATTTGCCAAAATTTGATGGTAGCTATTGATCTGTGTTTTGTAAGTGCAAATGGTGCCTTGTTAGGTTTTTTCTTTTTTTTCTTGTCTTTGGCCTGTTTTGGAACTTGGCTATTTTTCTGCATCTTCACCTAATGTCTGCATTTCAGAAGCTGATCTTCCACTGCTAGTGATCATTCCCTGCCTCTCGAAAGTCTTGAAAGGGCTGTGGCAAATCTGTTTCAGGGCTTCCAGGTCCTCAGAAGGCAGCCATCTGAACTCTAGCTGCACATGTTGGACAAGCGCTATTGTCACTGTTTGACTCTGCATGACATTTGCTTGACTAAGTGAGAGTGCCTACAGCCTCCAAGCCTCGCTGCAACTCTTGAATGGCAGATTCTGTATTTACAGCGGTTCCTTTCTTGAATTAAAAACCACTCCTCTTTCTTTGCGGAACTCCTCATAAGGCGGCAGCGCTTTCTTCTTCTTCCTTTTTTTTCTTAAATGTGTATTTATTGCATTTTAGGTTTTGGGGTACATGTGAAGAACATGTAAGATTGTTGCATAGGTACGTACATGGTAGTGTGGTTTGCTGCCTTCCGCCCTATCACCTATATCTGGCATTTCTCCCCATGTTACCCCTCCCCAACTCCTCACCCCCTGCTGTCCCTCCTCTAGTTCCCCCCTGCAGACCCCAGTGTGCGATGCTTCCCTCCATCTGTCCATGTGTTCTCATTGTTCAACATCCGCCTATGAGTGAGAACATGTAGTGTTTGATTTTCTGTTCTTGTGTCAGTTTGCTGAGAATGATGGTTTCCAGGTTCATCCATGTCCCTACAATGGACATGAACTCATCATTTTTTATGGCTGCATAGTATTCCATGGTGTCTGTGTGCCACATTTTCCCTGTCCAGTCTATCATTGATAGGCATTTGGGTTGGTTCCAAGTCTTTGCTATTATAAACAGTGCTGTGTGCATGTATCCTTATAATAGAATGATTTATAATCTTTTGGATGTATACCCAGTAATGGGATTGCTGGATTCTTCTTCTTTTTGTTTTTAATGAGATAGAGTCTTGCTCTGTTGCTCAGGCTGGAGTACAGTGGCACAATCTTGGCTCCCTGCAACCTCCGCCTCCCAGGTTCAAGCGATTCTCCTGCCTCAGCCTCCTGAGTAGCTGGAAGACTGGGGCCCGCCACCACACACAGCTAATTTTTGTATTTTAGTAGAGATGGGGTTTCACCATGTTGGTGAGGCTTGTCTTGAACTCCTGACGTCAAGCCATCCACCCGCCTCGGCCTCCCAACATCTGGGATTACAGGCATTAGTCATCACGCCCAGCTGCTTTCTTCTTTAGATATATTCCCTTTATGTTTTCTAAACATATAATGGAATTGTCAGCAATGTGGGGATTCAAGGCAAAATATACTACCACTTAGCTCTGCCTTCGCTGTCCCTGCACTTGGTTCTATCTGCACTGTGAGTAGTCAAAATGTACTTTGTCCCTGTAAATGTGTACTGAACTCCTTGTCTAGACCAGTCACTGTGGTCTTTTGGGGGAACTGATGTGGCAGAAAAGTAGATAGTTGAAAGAAAGAGAAGTAGGACTCCGTTGTCATCTTCTAACAGCCTGTAATGTTATATGTGAAGCTATGGTCTCTACAGCAGGAGCACAAAGAAGATAGTGATATATTCTTTCGAGGTGTCAGAACCTGACAATTCTTATCAAAAGACTTGCATTTTCTTCTGGAGGGGTGAGTGGAATTGCATTGTTGGAGACAGCTGGGGAGAATAGCCTGAGCCACAGGGCTGGAAGCTCCAAGGCTGCATTTAGAGATCTGTAAGCAACCAGATGGCTGCAGATGAAGTCTTCGAAGGCTTGTAGTAGGATATAGGTCTGGGAGGTTTCCTACAGACAGCATGTAGGCACATTTAAATGCCAGATTATGATTTTAGTATGTCTTTTGTAGAGAATGGGGTTAGTTGAAGGTTCTCAATCAGGGGAAGTCTAAAACTCATTCTGAAAAAGGAAGATAGGAAATAAGACCAAGTGTGGAAAGATGCAGGAGAGTAAGCCCAGGTCAGAAAAACGTTCTCCAGCAAGCCGCATTTCATACTTGCTGACCGTTGTCTGATGTTCAGCAGTTTTTTGATTCCAGCCAAGCAAATGCCCCAAATCTCATATCTGAAGACAGAAAGGCCACTGACTTTGCCACTGGACCCAGTGGCATTATGCCCAAATGCTTCTGTCTCTGTTGTCCAGGCTGGAGTGCAGTGGTGCGATCTTGGCTCAATGCAACCTCCGCCTCCCAAGTGCAAGCAATTCTCCTGCCTCAGCCTCCTGACTAGCTGGGACTATAGGCACATGCCGCCACACCCAGCTAATTTTTTGTACTTTTAGTAGAGATGGGATTCCACCATGTTAGCTGGATGGTCTTCATCTCCTGACCTCTTGATCCACCCGCCTCCACCTCCCTAAGTGCTGGGATTATAGGAGTGAGCCGCCATGCCTGCCCCCTCCCCTTTAAAAACAAAACAAAAACAAAAACAAGAAAACCTAGAGTTTTCATTTAAATATTTTTTTTCACCTCTAAATTCTTATAACCTGATAGATTCTGAGAAGATCATGCTTTGAGGTTTTTTGTTTAATATAACCTTCATTCTTTAAGGCTGTGTCTACACATGCTTCTCAAAAACCATTGCATTTTAATAGGTTTATTCAGCAGCTACATTTTGTTTGAGCAGTCTTTCTGAGCACACAAATTCATCATCACTGGTATTTGTACAGCACTGATTTTGAAGCACTTTCACATATATTCTCACCTGAGTGAGAAATAGATATCTCAATTCTGAGATGTGCTTGATGTGCTTATTTCAGGGATGAAGAAACTAAGACTCACCAAGAAGATTAATGATTTCTCCTTGGCCATATGCTTGAGCACTGCTGAGCACAACTGGACTTTGAATTTTGGCCTGTGCTTGATTTTAAGTTCTAAACACCAGATTGAGGGTGTTGGGTTTTGTTTTAATTTTCGTAATGTTTTTACCATCGATGAAAACTGGCATCAGTCATCTGAGCGACTCTATCCCTTGAGTGTGGCTTTCCCATAAAATAAAAACATTGAGAAGGTTACAAAATTTAATTATAATAGCCATTAAGTAGAACAAGTTCAAAATTATGGTAAAATATGCTTTCCATGTGACTGTTTCATTCAGAAATTAAAGGATGATCCATTCTAATTTTTTTCTATTACTGTAATTTAAGAAAGCAAGAGTTAATTGAGAGATACATCTCATCCTTTTGAATTATCTTCCCTCTGGTGGAACTGAATTAGATGTGTTAATATTTATTGGTTAACGTAATTATAGGTTGTGAGAACAATAATCACACACTTAAAATATTAAAAATATGTGCCAAGGGAAGATGATGTCTGTAGTAGACTGTGTTGTGTTATAATTAAAAGGTACTTGGAAAGTCCTAGAAATGTAGACCGTTCATGCCCAGCTTTGATGTTTCTATTTTTTGTTCAAAGCAAATTTCAAAACCTATAGAATTACCTGGCTACTTAAAGTAGGCTAGTAGGTCTGTGATTTCTCATTAGTCAAGCATGTGTTATATGCTTTTTTTTTTTTTTTTAATCCATGTCTCTATCACTTTTGTAAGGCTGCTTTGACTCATGTTCTAGGGGAAAATGATATATATGTAGAATGTTTATATAGTGAGAGGTTCCAGGGAACTCTATTCTCCTAACAAGCCTGAAAAATGTCTGAGCTCTTGAAAATAGGTTTTTTAAGTGAATTATTATTTATTTATGTTTTTTATTGTACTTTCAATTCTGTGGTACATGTACAGAGCATGCAGGTTTTTACATAGGTATATATGTGCCATGGTGGTTGGCTGCATACATTACCCCATCATCTACACTAGGTATTTCTCCTAATGCTATCCTTCCTTTAGACCTCCACCCCCTGACAGTCCCTGGTGTGTGATGTTCCCCTCCCTCTGTCCATGTGTTCTCATTGTTCAACTCCCACTTATGAGTGAGAACATGCAGTCTTTGGTTTTCTGCTACTGTGTCAGTTTGCTGAGAATGATGGTTTCCAG